ACATGGAGGAAGACTTTACTAAAGCTCCACCCTAAAGGACTGATAGCCCCGCCCATAAAGTGCTGATAACCCCACCCTAAATGACTGATAACCCCGCCCTAAATGACTGATAACCCCGCCCCATATCACTCATATCCCTGCCCTAAATGACAAATAGTCCCACCCTAAATGACTGATAACCCCGCCCTAAATAACTGATAACCCCACCCCTAAATGACTGATAACCCCGCCCTAAATAACTGATAACCCCACCCCTAAATGACTGATAACCCCACCCTAAATAACTGATAACCCCGCCCTAAATGACTGATAACTCCGCCCTAAATGACTGATAACCCCCCCCCTAAATAACTGATAACCCCGTCCTAAATGACTGATAACCCCGCCCTGAATGACTGATAACCCCACCCCTAAATGACTGATAACCCCACCCTAAATAACTGATAACCCCGCCCTAAATGACTGATAACTCCGCCCTAAATGACTGATAACCCCCCCCCTAAATAACTGATAACCCCGCCCTAAATGACTGATAACCCCGCCCTGAATGACTGAGCGTTAATGACTGACTGGCGTTAATATTCTGCTCAGTGATGAAGCCGAGCATGTTCGTGTTTTCTAGACTTCTCCAGATGTTTTCTGCACTCGAGAGCGGACCAAAGACCTGGAGGCCATCAGCAGAGTGATCCAGGAGGCCCAGAGCTTCATCTACATCTCCATCCCTGACTACCTGCCCCTGCTGAACCGCAGCCAGCTCAGGTGAGTGTGTTCAGAGAAGACCCGGAGTCAAACCAGCCCACAGAGAGCTGAAGACAGAGTTCTGCACGTTACAACGGGGGACAGAGTCGGGGGCAGCAACCCTGCTCCTGGACATTCACCTTCCTGCAGAGATCAGCTACAACCCTGATCAAACCCACCTGAAGCAGCTAACAGGAGCTAAAGCAGCACCTGATGATTACAGACAGGTGTGTGTGTGTGTGTGTGTTTGATCAGGGCTGGACTCTGCAGGTAGGCGGATCTCCAGGAGCAGAGCTGCAGCCCCCGACTCTATAACATGACGGCAGCTCCAGTGTCTACATCAGTGTTTATCTGCTGACACACACTCACCAGCCTGCAGTCAGTTCATGTGTGTCTGTCTCTGTATGGATGCATGTGTGTGTGTGTGTGTGTGTGTGTATGCATGTATCTGTCTCTCTCTGTGTGTGTGTGTGTGTGTGTGTGTGTGTGTATGCATCTGTCTCTGTATGCATGTGTGTGCATGCATCTGTCTGTGTGTGCGTGTGTGTGTCAGGTACTGGTCTGGGATTGACAGTATGCTGCGTGAGGCTCTTCTGGTGAAGAGCGGCATCAGTGTGCGTGTGTTGGTCAGCTGTTGGACACACACACACCCGCTGACACACAACACACTCTGGTCACTGCAGAACCTGTGCTTTCAGACCCTCAGCTGCTCAGTGGAGGCCGTGAGTACACACACACACACACACATGTAGGGATATGGAGCTGTAATGCGCTCTAAACCTGCCGGAACTACTTTAGCTGTGCCTTTATCTGATGATAACCGAACCCTAGAGAGTGCTGATCAGCCAATCAGAGTGCAGTGTTCATCTTGCCTGTAGTGTGTGTTGAGCTGGTGTTTGTGTGCTGTTGCAGCGCTTCTTCAGTCTCCCGCAGCCGGACACATTGAACCGCAGCAGATTCGTGCTGACGGACACATCACTGTACATCGGTGAGAGCAGAGCTTCTCCATCCACACACACACACACACACACACACACACACATACACACACACACACTGGGCTGCATTCTGCACTCCTCACTCATGCTGGTGTGTGTGTGTGTGTTTCAGGCAGTCAGAGCTGGATGGGCAGTGAGTTTGTGTCCAGTGCTGGCGTGGGGCTGGTCATCCGGCAGCAGCAGCAGGGGAACAGCAGCAGTGTGCTGCAGCGCATCAGGGCAGTGTTTGACAGAGACTGGCACTCACAGTACAGCAGACCACTGCACACCACACACAGCCCAGCATGCACAGCTCACACACACTCAGACTGAGCACAGCAACACACACATCTCCTTTCTTTATGGTCATGTCTATGTTTCTTCTATAGGGTCATGTTTATTTTTCTTTGTTGGAAAATGTCTCTTCTATATATCTCTATAGGGTCACGTCTCTTTTTTTCTAGTGTCATGTATGTGTTTCTACAGGGTCATGTCTATTTCTCTCTATAGGGTCACATCTGATTTTCTCTCTATAGGGTCATGCCTTTATATTTATATAGGGTCACATTTCTTTCTATAGGGTCACTGTTCGTTTTCTTTGTATAGGGTCACGACTCTATCTTTCTATAGGGGGTTGTCTCTTTGTCTTTCTATAGGCCCATGCCTCTATCATACTATAGCATTCTGTTCTGTATAGCATAGCATGTTCTATATAGGGTCATGAGTCTGCCTTTCTATAGGGTCACATCTGTGTCTATCTGTTGACCGTATGCTCCAGCTCTTTCTGCAGTTGTTCCTGAACTCCTGGGTTAGGCCAAATAGGAATAACAAAGTGCTGTAAAAGCTCAAACTACTCGCTCTACAAACAAGTGTGTTTGACCATACAGACAAATGTCCAGTATAATAACACAATACTAGTTTGGATCATCAAAGATAAGCATGATGAGCATGATGAGCTGTTCTTCCACAGTTAAAGTAGAGATCTAATAGCTGCGTCCGCTCGTGCATGAAAGAATCAGCTCAACATGGTGGATATTCTGTATAGTCACGCACCGTATCGTTAATCTTTTTATAGGTGGGTTTATTAAATCTCTCCACAGATTATCATAGTCCACCTTGTTTTGGCATCCTGAATATGTGCAGAGATCAGTGTGTGTGTACAGCAGCCTCTCACAGAAGATGCACAAAACCAGAGTCTGAGGTATGAACATCTTTTAACAAAACTCAATGGATTTGCAACAGGAGACGTTCACTGCATGAGGCACTTTGATTATTTATGAATGTGCATTATTGGGCAAATTGATCAAATCATGGTAGAGCTGGAAAGAGCCAGAAGATTAAAAACACACCTGACTGCTGGAGACACCTGAGGAGTAAACCCATCCAGACCACACACTCCTCCATCCATCTCCTCTTCCAGGAGAACAGCTGAAGAATTCAACTAATCGTGCCGATTTAACCACAGAATAAACATCGACTGATTCTTGAGGTAGACGATCTGCAGATGTACGCCACACAACTAGACGTGCTCCTTTGTACGGTGCTGATCAGATCAGTTGTCAGTGGCTTGTTTCTCTAACTGCTCTCTCTAGCTGGTGTAGCAGCACTTCTGCTGTGCATTGCCTCTCCATGCTGAACGCTTCTTCATTTGTAGGTCACTTTGGACAGCAGCGTCTGCTCAACAACCTAATGTAAATGTCAAATATAATAAAAACAGGAGAAGCAAACTAATGAGGCGTGTGGGATGTCACTGAAAGAAACTTGAAAGAGTTGCAGCACAACATTTTCATCAAGACACTGACACACACACACACACACACACACACACACACACACACACACCGCAGCAGGAGTGAACATCTGCTCATGTCTCATCTACTGGAACAGCACAGAACACTCAGGCAGGTGTGTTGAGGCCGGTTGGAGCTAGACTCAGCAGGACTGAGATTGGTGACCCCTGATGATGTGTAACGTCTTGAAGTGACAGTGCTGAGTGTGTGCAGGTTAAACGCTCTGTAAGATGTAGTGTACAGTAATAATTTTCCATATCGAGTTTTCTTCACACGCTTTCTCCTCCACAGCTCAGCTGATCGGGCTTTTTTCTTGCTGCCAGCCGTTAAACTGATGTGTGTACGGTTAATCGTCTTCCTCTGATCCATCATTCATGAACGCAGTATTGAATTCTGTTTCACACAGCACATTCACCAGAACACACAGACGAGTGGAAGTGTGTAAGGCGAGAACGCTGAAGATCAATACTGAGGCAACACACACCAGCAGACTTACTGAAACACACACACACACACACACACACAGGTTTGTTTCAGTATCTTAGTGAGGACATTATTGTTTCTCTCAGGTTCATGATGATGGTCGTGGCCTAACCCTCACAGACATCATCAGATCCTGATTAAACATCTTCTGGCTGATTTATGAGCACTTTTCATTAGTGAAGCGCAGTGTCATGCCAGCAGCAGTTTCAGAGTCCTCACATGTATAGCTAAACCTGTACCCGTGGGCATCTGCACTCAGGTAAATTACATTAGTAGTTGATTTAGCTTAAATGAGGAGTGTGTTGATGATTCTGTGGATTTGAGCATGAATAAACGCCGTCTCTCTCCCTCCTCTGTGGGCTGATCAGGACAGTGGACACTCGTCTGTGTCGTGTTTCTGCTTGATGAGGGAGATTTCAGTTCCTAATTCTGTTGCTGCAACTCCATAAAGGCCCGTTCCAGCAACCGTAAACCACCAATACCAGTGTGTGTGATCTGTACGGTGGACTGATGGTGTGCTGAAGATGCTCCACACACACACACACACACACACACACACACACACACACACACACACACACAGGTGTCTGAGCTGGAGGAATGAGCGGAGGCGGTGGTCTCTCTCTCTCTGAGCTCTACAGGTGATGGTTTATTGGGGGATGTCAGTGAACATCAGTGCAGGTGTGTGTGTGTGTGTGTGTGTGTGAGATACAGTCAGTGATGCACAATAGCAGCTCATTAATGGAGAGATCAGAAACTACACACACATACAAAAATATAAATAAAGAGATATAAAACTGCTGCTGTTCCTGACCGAGCCCGACGCCTCACTTCTTGATCACCTCCTCCTTCAGCTTCTCCGCCACGTGCTTCCTCTTCTGCAGCTTCTTCTTCTCCTCCACAGAGATCTCCTGCAGACACAGAGATAGAGTGTGTGTGTGTGTGTGTGTGTGTGTGTGCACACTCTGCTGCCTGCGTGTTTCTCATTCCAGCAGCGTGTCGACACTTGTGTGAGAAATACCATATATAACCACTGCATCAGCAGGAGTGTGTGTGTGTGTGAATAAGAGACGTGTG